GAGTTCATTATATATGATCCTATGCACTTAGCAATAGAGCTATTGTGATCCCCTGTTAAGAATATCATAGATACATTCTAATTATTATAAATGAGGGAATCCATGAAACCTACATTTCTTTAGGTCTGGCTTGTTTCCCTTAATACAGTTATTCCAGGTCTTTCAATTTCCTTACAAATGGGACAATGTCATTCTTTCTGATTGACACATAGAACTCCATTGTGTATATATACCACATCTTCTTGATCCATTCATCTACTAAGGGACATCTGGGTTGGTTCCATATCTTAGCTATGGTAAATAGTGCTGCAATGAAATGGTTGTGCTGGTAGCTTTAGTGTGGCCTTGTTTATGATCATTCGTGTAAATGCCCAGGAGTGGGATTGCTGGGTCATAGGGAAGCTCTATGTTTAGTCTTTTTAGGAACCTCTGTACTGCTTTCCAGAGTGACTGAGTAAGTTTGAATGTTTTCACATGCCTTAGGGGAGTTGAGAATTCTCTCCAGCTGGATGTTACTCCTGCTGCAGAGGGGGAAATGCCTGAAGGCTGTGGTTGTATATCAGTATGCTTGGTGAACTCAGGTCACAGGTGGAAAGTGGTAGGGTGCCACAGAGTGGGCAGGAGGCCACATAGGAAACTGGCGAGTAATAGGTAATGATGCCATGTTTAGGTATGAGTTATGGTAATATTTGTAGAGAGATAGAGAGGGGGTAGGAAAGGGATGACCTAAAGAAAGGGCATTGCATGTGTGCAGGGAGTAAACAGGACCCCAGGCCTGGGTCTTGGGATGAATAAATGCTTTTGATGAGACTCTCAGAAGGACAATTAGACCTGGATGCAAATTAACTTTCTGCTGTGCTGGGTCCAGCAGAACTGCTCAGTAGGCACAGCAGCAGCTGGAAATTAGTAGGATTTGATATATATCAACCTACAAAAAGAATGCTTGTCAGGGGCAGCATGACAGTTTTTAAAGACCGTGGTCTCATTTTTAAAAATAAGATTTGCCTCCTGCTGATAATATGAAAGGAAAAAAGGAAAGAGTAGTAGTGAAGGTAAAAATATGCAATATCCTTTTCTTTTTTGTGAGTAAGCACAATAAGAATTACAAGTGTGATTGTCCTTCTGTAACTGTTAGAGGCTGGGCAAGTAGCTACCTTTACTTCCTGCTGGTCTGTCGGTTAGTGGGATATATATTGTGATTAGTGTTGTTATAGGCTACGGCCTCTGATCATTTCTTCTTTTCTCACTTTGTTCTTTATGCATCAGTTTCCATATCTGTAACATAGTAACTGCTTTCCATGACAGATCAGAAGGTGAAATGGGGTTACCCATGTCACAGAATAGAATTGTTGTCATACAACAAGTACTCAATAAGTTATGTTCTTATGCGGTAGAGAGTCTCATATAGTTCACCAGAAAGCATATGTTAGAAGGATAATTTTCTTTATTACTAGCTGTGTTGGATGCTAGTGACATAAGCTGAATCCCATAGGAAATTCTTTTACATACACTAGGGTGGTAGCAAAAAACCAAAGATACCTATCTGTATAGCCAAAAATATCTACTATATATATTCTCCATATCCAAACACAAGTCTCAGAATTCAGTTTGTTGGTGTGAGATGAGAGACATCTATAAAAAAAATGACCCAAGAGAGAATTTATGCCTGAGAGCCTGGAATAGGCTAAGCCGAGTATGCTTAAGTCTGGCTGTCACCTTGCCCTACTTACCACATGGATGGAGGGAGACAGATGGGGCACTAATTCCTGGAGCATCTCCAATCACACTCACCCTCCAAATTCCTAGGAGATATTGATCCAAGGGGCATGGGGACACCTGGCCAGGACCTTCCCTGGATGTGCACCTTGCACTTCTATTTAACCAGTGTAAACCATTCCACCTTCCTTGTTTTCCTCAGGGATGGGGTGGTCTCTGAACTCCCCTTCCTGACCAACACACTCTTGGTCTGTGTAATCATGTTAGACATGACGCTGTGTATATGACTCACATTAGCCCAGTGTGATGGAGAATATAGAGGATTGCCAGCTTCCTGCAGAGACATCTAGTCCCATGAGAAAGAGCTTCTTCATGACTTAACATTTTTGATGCTCTTTATTTCTTGCTATATTCCTGATGCATATGTAAGTGTCAGCAGAACATTCGGTACTCAATATGTATTGAGTGAATGATACTGCATGGTCTGTAGCTACCACAGAAATTTTAGCTAATAAGATCAGAAGTTCTAGAACATTTGACAGAAATGTCACCCCCACACTGGAATTTAGGTATATACCGTCAGTCAACTTTATAAAGCTATTCTTTGCAAAATGGAGAGTTGGGGTTTTTATTGTTGTTTTTTTCTCTTTCACAGGAAGTGCAGAGTAGTACAGTTGGAAAGGCATATTGCTTTAGAACCATATAAATGGCTGGTTCTGATAGTTTTGGAAACTAATTTCTCAGTTTCAACTTTCTCCCTGGATGCAAGGATCTTTCCTGTAGTATGGCAGAAAGCAAAAGTTATGAACAGTCATGTGCTTGGCACCAAGCCTGGCACCTTGATTTAGTGTTAGTTCCCTCTCTCTTGTCTCAGAGGAGCAAAAACATTTGACCTATAAAAAGCCCATTCCTGTACCAAGGCCTACTTTAGATTTGTTTTTCACATTCCCACATTGAAATGTCTTATGAGAATGAATATTAAGTTTGGGGTGGACAAATCAAATGATCTGTATCACATACTCTTGATTGCATCTCTGATTATACCCACAACCATCCTTCTACTGTAGGAAGAAAACAGGGTCTAAGATTTTGTGTGTGTTTACTTGTCCTGGGAGTGGAACTCAGGGCCTAGGTGCCATTCCTAATCATTTTGCTCAAGGCTAAAACTCTACCACTTGAACCACAGCTCTACTGGTATTTTTGTTGTTGTTGTTGTTGTTTTGGGGTCTGGTTGTGGGGCCTGAACTCTGGACCTGGGCGCTGTCCCTCAGCTCTTCAGCTTAAGGCTAGCGCTCTACCACTTGAGTCACAGCGCCACTTCCAGCTTTTTTCTTTTTGCTTATGTGGTGCTGAGGAATCAAACCCAGGGCCTCAGGCATGCAAGGCAAGCGCTCTACCACTGAGCCACCTTCCCCAGCCCCTCCACTGGTATTTTTGCCGATCTATTAGAGGTAAGAGTCTCATGGACTTTCGTGCCTAAGCTGGCTTCAAACTGTAAATCTTCAGATCCAGCCTCCTGAGTAGCTAGGATTGCAGGCATGAGCCACCAGCACTGAGCAAGATATTTTATTTTATTTATTTATTTTTGGTTGGTCGTGGGGCTTGAACTCTGGACTTGGGCGCTGTCCCTGCACTCTTGAACTCAAGGTTAGAGCTCTACTGCTTGAGACACAGTGATACTTCCGGTTTTCTGGTGCTTTATTGGAGATAAGAGTCTCACAAACTTTCCTGCCCGGGCTGGCTTTGAACCGTGATCTGAGGATCTCAGCCTCCTGAGTAGCTTGTATTACAGGCATGAGCCACCGGCGCCTGTCTGCAAGATATTTTTAAAATCAGTCTCCCAAATTGCCTCATTCCCACACAAACTGATACATATGCACACAGCTGATCCTAGAAACATCAAAGACAAAATAACTATATCAAACACAAAATAACTATATTCAACTAGTCTAACCTTCAGAATTAACTAGATCTTTTCTTCTTTAAACAATAATAAGCCTGAGATTACAAATGTGTGGTCCTTTCATTTTCTGTGGGTTTTCCAAGAAAGAGAGATGGAAGTTGTTGGATTCGTTCCAACTCCTTGCCCCAACTGTGGGGAAACACTGACTGTAGTAAACGCACTACAAGACACAAGTGTACTCTTGGTTGCATCCTGAATTGCAGTTTTAGGAGATGATAAAAATACTGAATAAGCTTTAATGATGGTTTTTCTTCAACCTAACTTTATCCCCTACTGGATATTGGTGGACATCACCTACCTCACCATTCCTATATGGAGAAACACTAGCCTGAGGCTAGATAATTTCTTCCTATTCAGTCATTTATGTGTGTGTGTGTGTGTGTGTGTGTGTGTGTGTGTGTGTGTGTGTGTGTGTGTGTGTGTGTGTGTGTGTGTCCCAGGGCTTGAACTCAGGACCTGAGTACTGTCCTTGAACATTTTTGCTTAAGGCTAGCACTCTACCACTTTTGCCACAGCTCCATTTCTGGATCTTTGTTGGCTCACTGGAGAAAAGTCTCATGGACTTCCTTATCTGGGCTGATTTTGAACCATGATTCTCAGATCTCAGTCTCCTTAGTAGCTAGGATTATAGCTGTGAGACACGGGTACCTGGCTGTGCAGTGATTTTTATAAGTAATTTGCATGGCCCCAATTCTTGATATTTTATAGTGAATTTACTATGTTAAAAAAATCAGGGCTGGGAAGGTGGCTCAGTGGTAGAGTGCTTGCCTTGCATGCCTGAGGCCCTGGGTTCAATTCCTCAGCACCACATAAGCAAAAAGAAAAAAGCCGGAAGTGGTGCTGGCTCAAGTGGTAGAGTGCTAGCCTTGAGCTGAAGAGCTGAGGGCCAGCACTCAGGCCCAGAGTTCAGATCCCACGACCGGACCCACCCCCCCAAAAAAAAAAATCAGGATTAAGGGGCTGGGAAGGTGGCTCAGTGGTAGAGCGTTTGCCTTGCATGCCTGAGGCCCTGGGTTCGATTCCTCAGCACCACATAAACAAAAAGAAAAAAGCTGGAAGTGGCTCTGTGGCTCAAGTGGTAGAGCGCTGGCCTTGAGCTGAAGAGCTGAGGGACAGTGCTCAGTCCCAGAGTTCAGGCCCCACAACCGGACTACCCCCCCCCAAAAAAAATCAGGATTAAGGAAAACTGAATTATGTGTATTCTTGGTAACATTTTTCTTAATAAATTATATTTCCTAAAATTCATTTAAATTGTCATATTTTTGATGTATTAAATGATGACTTGCATAGTACTTACTTTGTTTTATCTTTGATTTTTCAGAGACAAGTAGAAAGACAGATGATCCAGAACAAAAAGAAAAAGGTGAGATTGTCAAATAGCTACTCGAAGACATCATACCATTAAAAAATGTCATGAAATTTTATTTTCTATCAGCTTAAAGAAATTGCCAAGGGATTTATTTCAGAGACTTTTATTAATAATCTACATAGACATTAAGAAATTGAGCTCAAAAGAGATTGCCTGGCTTTTAATCTTAGTTTGGTTGTTGGCTACGTAAAGAAACTATATTTAACATTGAAAAATTATACAGAAGGTCATAACTTTTACTGATGAAACGTTTAATGATTAAACATTTTAATTTCAAGAATGCCTTATGATAGTGGGAACAGAATCTCAATTGAATGGGGACTGCACGATGTTTAACTTTATAAGTGAGGAAGTACTTGGTGAACACAAGAAATTATTTGTTTCTGGTGGTAATTTCAGAGCTCACAGATCAAGGAGACATCCAGCTCATACATTTTTATTTTTACTGGCTGGTTTTTATTTTTATCAAGAGAATACAAGGATACAGTTTTAAAGATTAAAACAGCAATCCTCACCCGACTGTTTACTGTTCTTGCATCCTAACTGTAGGTTGTTAAGTTTTTTTTTTTTTGTTTGTTTTTTACCAGTTCTGGGGCTTGAACTCAGGGCCTAGCACTGTCCCTGAGCTTCTTTTGCTCAAGGTTAGCACTCTATCACTTGAGCCACAGCACTACTTCTGGCTTTTTTTGTGTATGTGGTACTGAGGAATTGAACCCAGGGCTTCATACATCCTAGGCAAGCATTCTACCACTAATCTACATTCTCAGCCCTATTTTGTTTTTTGGTTTTTTCTTTAAACTTTGTCACAAATAACTTGTTAGTTCTACAGTTTTTGCCACACTATTGGAAACTCTTGTGTTATTATTTTTTTTTTTTGTTTTAATTTTTGGTGCTGGTTCTGGGGTTTGAACTCAGGGTGCTAACTGGGTGCTATCCCTGAGCTTTTTTCTCTAAGGCTTGCACAACTCCACTTCCTGCCTTTTGGTGGTTAATTGGAGATAGGAATCTCACACACTTTCCTGCTTGGACTGGCTTTGGACTGTGATCTTCAGATCTCAGCCTCTCGAGTAGCTAGGTTTACAGGTGTGAGGTAGCAGCACCCAGATGGTTTGTTTTGTTTTAGAGTTGTCTGGGATTCACATTGTCACCAGACTTGAACAGCTGACTGTTGCCTTTCCTTACTGCTCTCCCAATCTGCTCATGACTTGGCTATAATGGATACTAACCAATGCTAAAGAAAAACTCCCAGCAGGAAGATGAATACCAGCAGCTGAGTACAGACTCCATCATTCCCTCTATGTGAACACCCCCCCGCACTCCCTGCACTGCCTGGGGTTCTCACTCCCTTGGTTTTCCTTCTCTTCTGTCCTGCTGGTCTTTCCCAATCTTTCTGGGTAGAAGCGCATCTCCCTGGACCTTTAGACACTGGTTTGCTCAGGACTTGGTCCTCAGACCTGTTCTTAGTCGTTTTCATGATCTCCTGACGTTATATGTCTTTGTACTCTAAACGCAACCAGAGCTGTCTTAATCATGCTGTAAAAGTAAATGCCCCTTCCTCCATCAGAACATGTGCCTCCTGTGAACTTCCTTTCATATCTCACCATCTTCCCAGAACATATTCCAATGGCCTTCTCTTCAGAAAAAGTTGAATATCCAACTACTTCCTACCACCTTCTCCTGCTCCCAACAAGGTTTAAAGCTAGATTACTTGAGTAACTGCTTAACTGGACTTCCAGCTCCCCCCTTGGTATTGCTCAGTTCTTTCTCAACATGGTAACTGCAAAGTAAATTAAAATGTAAGACGTTTGGGCTGCCCTGTTTCTCCAGCATCTACTTCTCTCCCTCTCCAACCCCATGTCCTGTGATTGTCTCCTTTCCTCACTCACCCTCACCCACACTGGCTTCTGTGTCAAGCACCTACAGGACTCAGGACCTTTGCACTGGCTGCATCCTGTGGGCTAAGTGTTATTCTCTTATGTGTACATGTGACTCACTCCTTCAGTCTCTCCTCAGATTTGTCCTCTCAGAAAGCCTCCCTTAAGTCTGCTTTTCCTTAAGATTTGGCCTCCTGATATCCCATAATATGTCCTGAATCCTGGCTTTATTTTCTCATTGTACCGTCACCATGTAATCTATTTATAGTTTAATAATTTAATGTTCATTTCTGAACTGTCCACTGGGATGAAGATTCCAGAAAGACACAATTGTGTCACACTGCTGCATCCCCTGATCTTCACAGGCATACATGAGGCACTCAGTAAATATTAGGTGAACTTCTATTATTGTTTATTACTGAGTGTTCATATGAAACAGCATGAAAGGCTTAAGCAAACTCAAAGTACATAGAAGTAAGAGGCAGATCCTGATGGCAGGCTTGGAATGTGGAACTCCAGGAGACCAACAGCTGAGTGGGTGTGCCTGGGTGAGGGGGATGCTGCTGCCCTTCCCCAAGGAGCCACAGTAACTGTTTGGTCTCCTGTGACTTCCTGAGTCTAAACTCAGTACATATATGGAAATGCTATACCTAGCCATTTGGAGTACTGAACAAACAAGAAAAAGAAAATCTTTATTCTAAAGTTTTGCTAGGTCTTATGTCTACAATCCTACCTCCTAAGGAGGCAGAGATTCAGAAGATTGAGGCTTGAAATCAGCATAGACAGAAAATCCAAGAGACTCTATCCCCAAGTAACCAACAAAATGTCAGACTGGCTCAAGTGATAGAGCAAAAGCCAAGCAAGAGGCCCTTTGAGTTCAAACCCAGTAACTTGGTAAGGGAAATGAACCTTACTAATGGCTTTAAGAATCAGATTGTATGTCAGATGCAGATTGATTGTAGAAACCACCACATATCCACTGTAATTCCTTTTTTTTTTTTTTTTGGGTCCGGTCATGGGGCCTGAACTCTGGGCCTGGGCACTGTCCCTCAGCTCTTCAGCTCAAAGCTAGCGCTCTACCACTTGAGCCACAGCACCACTTCCGGCTTTTTTCTTTTTGCTTATGTGGTGCTGAGGAATCGTACCCAGGGCTTTGAGCATGCAAGGTGAGTGCTCTACCACTGAGCCACCTTCCCAGCCCCCACTGTAATTCCTTGAGTCATATGTAATTTGAAAAGTTCAAATGTCAATGGCTTGAAAAGACATCAATAACCTAATGCCAGTTCAGTGGCAAATGAGGGACCCAGTTCCTTTCTTGCCAGTCTGTCATCCTTAGTCTTTAACCTCATGTTACAAAAGGGTTACTCAAGCATAAGCCTTTATAGCTAGTCCATACAGCAGGAAGGAAGATGGGTGAAAGAGTAGCCTTCTCACAAGAAACATATTTAAACTGACAGAATTTTGTGGACAGTTCTATTTCTGAAAGGGGGAATTTGAGTATTGAGAGGAAGTGAAAATTGGCAGTTTCAGTCAAGATTTCCAAAATGAACACAGCATCCGTATATTGGCAGTCCGTATATTGTTTGATGTTAAAATTCTCACTTAGTCATCAGGATATGGATGGATAAGTAGGTTGGTAGACAGACAGACAGACAGACAGATAGACAGATAACAGAGATAGCTATATATAGATAGGTATATCTATATCTACACACACACACACACACACACACACACATCTGGCCATTCTTTCATCCCCATACATATGCCTGCTATAGGCCAGGCACTGTTCTTATCTAGGGAGCAGGGGGGAATCAGGCAGCACACCAGAGTGTGCTGGAGGGAGCAGAAGAGGTGGGTAAGGAAAACATGTCTCTGAGTAGGTAGGGGACATCCTCCAGGCAGCTGGGTAAGCATTAGGGTTCTCTGAGCCCTGAAGCATCTGCATAGGACCTGAGAAAGGAAAGAGAGCTCTAGAGGCTGAGCCCCAGGAGGCCTGGGAGCCCCAGGAGTAAGCTGAACACCCCAGATGGGCAGTTAGAGGAGTCAGAGAACAGAGACGGTGTGTGTGTGTGTGTGTGTGTGTGTGTGTGTGTGTGTGTGTGTGTGTGTGTGTGTGTGTGTGTGTGTGTGTGTGTGTGTGTGTGTGTGTGTGTGTGCGCGCTGATACCAGGGCTTGAACTCAGGGCCTGGATACCATTCCTTAGCTTTTTCACTCAAGGCTGGCACTGAACCACTTGAGTTACACCTCCAGTTCTGGCTTTTTGGTGGTTAGTTGGAGACAAGAGTCTCACAGACTTTCCTGCCTGGGTTGGCTTTGATCCTCATTCCTCAGATCTCAGCCTTCTCAGTAGCTAGGATTACATATGTGAACCACCGGCACCCAGATTCAAATAGGTCATTTTGATCCATGCATAGGATCATTATGGCACACATTATACTAACCAGAGCCCTTTTTCATCCACACATTGACTGCTTCACTTCCAGAGGTCCTCCTGGGACATTCTAACAAAGGTTGGCACAAGAGGGTTGGAACTGTGCTTATGACACTTTGCATATACAGTCCCAGACCTTCTGCTCACAGTGAGACCCTGTTGCTGCCTCGTAGGTTACCTAATCTTATCTACATTGCCCCCATGTACTGCACACAGTTCAAACCTCCAGGAGTTCTAATCCTAACAGGGATTCCCAGTAGAGTTCAGGAGCTGGGGTGGTTGGACCACAGATAGAACAGTACAACAGGCTGGCTAGCCTTGCTCTGTCGTCCACCCACCATGAAAGCTGGAGGGTGAGGTCAGAAACACCTAAAGGATGTTGTATCTGAAGTACTGCATTAAATGTAGCACTTGTCAGGATTCAGAGAAATAATGAATCGGTTTTAATCTGTGGTTACACAGATTCATTGAAAATCCTGCTTGAGCAAATTGTCAGCTCTTGGAAACCCACATTTTTTTTACTCAAATAGATTCATTCATGTGATACTACTAACTGGAAGGGAAGAAGAAAAAAGAGACATTCCATTCTGAGACTGTCTAGTTAAAAAGAATGTACTTAATTAATGAATTTTAATTTCATAGTAATAGCAATTGAGATTTCTTTAAATGCAATTATAAACTTGTT